AACTTCACTAGTTTACAGTGACAGAAGTATGTTAACAATGACAGAAGTAAAGTATATTAGCAAAGATATTAACTGAAACTTCAGTAGTTTACACGACAGAAGTATGTTAACAATGACAGAAGTAAAGTATATTAGCAAAGACATTAACTGAAACTTCAGTAGTTTACACGACAGAAGTATGTTAACAATGACAGAAGTAAAGTATATTAGCAAAGACATTAACTGAAACTTCAGTAGTTTACACGACAGAAGTAAAGTATATTAGCAAAGACATTAACTGAAAACTTCACTAGTTTACAGTGACAGAAGTATGTTAATAATGACAGAAGGAAAGTATATTAGCAAAGACATTAACTGAAACTTCACTAGTTTACAGTGACAGAAGTACGTTAATAATGACAGAAGTAAAGTATATTAGCAAAGATATTAACTGAAACTTCAGTAGTTTACACGACAGAAGTAGTTAAAAATTCAAGTTATTTGTATAAGGAATGAATTAAAACATTCAAATAATCAACTTTTAAATTGTGTAGTTAAAAATATCGATTGTTAGAGTACTTTAATTAGAAGTGTGTTAACAATGGTACACTAGCTTAAAAAGTTTCTTGTCACGAAACCGCATAAAACATAAGTTACCTTCAGCAGCTGAAAGCTCTGCTTCTTGTTCTCGCTTCCGACGAGCAGCTCGCTGCTTTTCTTCCAACAATACTTTAATTTGGTTTGCTTCATCCCAGATTCCTTCTTCCATGAGTCTCTGATCGGGCCGAAGTCTGCTATCAGTGGGAGCTATGCCCTCTTCTGGCTCATTCAGCTGACACGCAAGCACAGTGAAGTTGTACATTTTCTCATATTCACGCCTAACATGGAAATAATACTTTAACACATTTTCACGTTACCCGCAAATGTGCTTGGAAATCGTTATAAACTTTCAGATAAGTGAGAATAAGGTCAGTGGAAACTTCAAAGATTTAAAATGCTAAACAGCAGTAAACTTTCACTTTCCATTTTGAGATATATATGGAAAGTAATAATAATTTATTGATTGCTGCAAAGAAATTTAACATGTTCAAGTATCAACATTTCTAAAGAAGAATTATATTTTATCTATTCAATAAATTAAAAAAGATTTATAAAAATATTACAACCACGGCTATATAACAAAAAGGTAAGGATCTTTTCTTCAAACCACTTACGGAGGCATAACTCTCTTCCACAAGACTTTAGGAGTCGAAGTCTCTAGTAAAGGTTTTCCTTTCACAGATCCATGACTCCCAACGACTCTGGCTCCTTCAATTTTATGATCCCAAGTTCCTTGAAGTACCCAATTAGCTCTACCTTCCTTATCTGTGACTACACCAGTCACCTAATAGATAAAATAAAATATTTGGTTTACAGTAAGAGCTGCTACTAATATCCCATTTAATGTTTCATAAAAGGGCCAGAAAAACGGTTGACATCGTGAATGTAAACAAACACACAAGTTGAGAAACTAGACATGAAAGGCCTGATTTTAAGAAAACAGATTGTTGGTAACTTACTTTTTTGACAATTCAAATTTGAGAAAGAAACAGATGCAACCACTGACAATCAAGAATGATTCAAAATTGCATTTATATAAAAAAAATAAACCATTAAAAAACAGCTTCTAAAGTACATAATTTCACTCTCTACTCGTTATTTAACTGTAATGAAGCATCTTTTCTGACATAACCATACACACACTAACCTTCATCGATGTTTCACGAGAGAAGTAACTGTAATGAAGCATCTTTTCTGACATAACCATACACACACAAACACACACTAACCTTCCTTGATGTTTCACGAGAGAAGTAACTGTAATGAAGCATCTTTTCTGACATAACTATACACACACAAACACACACTAACCTTCCTCGGTGTTTCATGAGAGAAGTAACTGTAATGAAGCATCTTTTCTGACATAACCATACACACACATATACTAACCTTCCTCGGTGTTTCACGAGAGAAGTAACTGTATGGGATAAATTTTAGGTGGCATTTATCACCAGTAGTGTGGTTTACAATGTCCATCTCACCATGGTGATCCACCCACAACTTGCCCACAATGATATTGTGGACGGTAGTGGTCACTTTCCGCCAGGTGTAGTGATGTCCTGTACTCGTGAACTCTAGATGAGCGATGCCGAGGGGGATAATTTGTAGATATTTTCCTCTGAATTTACTAGACATACTAAATTCTTGCCAACACGTCCATCCTCGACCTTCACAGTACTGGGCCAACATTGGTGGATGATGGCTAACCTAGTTATAATGATTTGCAACAAAACACTTTTCTTAGTAACACAACATCATTACCATACATACATTTTGCTTACTCACTTTGAAATAACCTATAATTTCAAAATTTCTGAAAGACTGGTGTGTTTAGATGAGTTTTAAATAAATGTCTCGAGTTCTTTCAGGATATTTATTGCAAGAAATTAGATTAGATGTCTCTTCATTATTGTTACATTGTTTGTAAAAGGACTAACTACAATTTCTAACCACATTCATTCGCTCGTTCAGAGCATCAGAAGTTTGATGTCATATTGTGCTGGAATCAAGTAATAAATGCAAATAAATTTATCCAAACATCTTGCTATCTCTTCATACTTCAACTAATCTAAAAGCTATTGATACAACGTTTTTTTTTTTACACTCTCCATAATAACATAAGCATAACTTACTGCATCAAGTTGTCTAATTGTACGTTTCTGCCTGTTGAAACAGTTAGTGTAAATAACTGATCAGAAAAATTAAGTGATATTACTTATTTTCTACATAAAATACTCAGGAAACACCAGCAGCAATCAGTGGAATTCATTACAATATTGAAGGCATTTTCATTAGACTCGCATGTCATAAGATACCCTGTAACCAAAAGTTATGGACTTGTACAGAGTTCATAAAGGGTATGGTAAATGACATTCAAGGACCAAAATATGGTTTTCAAGTACATTAATTTTAATTAAACAAATTTTATTTTCCATGACATTTAGTACTATATAATACAAGCTGAAGTACCCATCCTTTGTATGAATTATGAATGTAAAAACATGTGAGAGCAGATGTTATGAAAAATGACAAAAAAAT